TTATTTTTTATTTGGTATTCTCCAAATAATGGTGAATCCTGCCATAATTCACCATGCCAAAATTCTTGCTTTTCATCGGTTACAATCCCGGGACCAAAATACATCTTTTGCATAAGTTTCGGATTATTTAGGATACGTTCTAGATGTGCTAATGGGGAAATAGTAAAGGCCTTTTTTATAGGTTCGCATGTGGATGGTGTTCTGTTTATACAGAGAGGTACATTTTGATTGTGTATTTTAGTTAAAGGTAATCTATTCCTCCATTTCCGAATGTGGCGAATATTTGTAGGAACATCATCTTTTTGAAACTCAGGATGTGTTATAATCTTGACAAGATCTTCATATGCAGAGGTTGCTACGTATATAAAAATTTATATTATCATTATGCTACTATACATATTGGTCTTTGCCTTGAAAATGACCTTATGGTACATAATACCATAAGGTCATTTTCAAGGCAATGACTCCATATACATAGATATAGTAAATTAATTTATTCAAGCGTTTCATTAGTCAAAATTAAAAATTTTCAATATATCGAATAGAATAATTTAAATATGCTATTCAATTAGGGTGTGCAATGGGCCAGATTGGACCGGGTTTGCCTGAGCCCGAACCCAGCCTGTGCCCGGCCCAATTCATTATAGAACTAAAAATCTAGGCCTGGGTTGGCCCAAACAAAGCTTAACCTATATAAATTACCGGGTTTAACTCGGCCCAAGCACAACCTGTTTTTACAAGCCCGGCCCGAGCCTGGTTTAATTAATTGAAAATCCAGGCCCAGGCATGGCCCGAACCCAGCCCAACCCGCAAATTATCGGGTTTGGCCCGGCCCATTGCACACCCTATATTCAATATATTGGATTTTTTAATTTTGACCAGTTTTTATACAGTATATATACATTTTGTTAAGTTATATATACTGTAATATTTAAAAACAACAATTTAAATAGTATATGAGTGACGGGAAGGGAAAACTTGTAAACCATTTCACTCATTATTATTGCAGTGATATCTACCTCTACAAGATTTAGGAGTACATATCACTGTGATAATGAGTGAAATGATTTACAGGTTTTCCCTTCCTGCCACTTATATATATAATATGTTTATTAATTAATTTACTTACAAATCATATGTTTGGTAATCCAAATAAAAATCATTGCAGATGTGAAATTTGAAAAATATGGACCATATTTGCAATTAAAGCCCTCAAAGTCAGAAGACATATCTTCTAGTATATCAGCTTCCAAAGCTTCTTCTAAAATATCAGATTCATCGTCACTATTCTCTACAACATCTAAGATATCAGATAAGCTTTCATTATCATAAGTTGAATTCGTATCAGATATATCGAATTCATCATAATTGACTGAGGTCTTTCCTATAGCATCAATTAATGAACTATACTGAGGTTGATAATTATTGATACTTTCTCTAGGCTTAAAATAATAAAAATTAAAACATTAAATTAGTATATTCTCTAAAATATTTTTTTAGAACATTTTAGAACATAATACTAACCTCACTTGGTAAGATATAATTACTAGTTGATAAACCTCCGGTTTCTTCAACTTGATTTTCTTCAAAAAACAAATCAGTATCTTCTATGTTATTATGTTCTGATATATGATCATCTA